CTGTCCTGCGGAAACTGACTGCTAGGAAAGGTGTGGCGTTCTTGAATGCGCACGAAGATACAAGAGTTGAGGACAAATGTTGAACAGTATCGCCACGTGCAGTCACAAGAAGCAGCCATATCGCGATGAACCAGGCCTGCAAGGCTTTGAATGTGGGTCGGAAGATACAAACATTTTCTCATCCATTACTATCGTGTCCTTTTCGAAAGAACCACTCTATGTCGACATGGATTTTATCGTCAGGCATGGCCACGGCGAGATCTACCTCACATTGACCACACAATGTCATCATCCATTCCATACGTGCCTCTCCATATGTACTAAGAGCGCCATACATAGTGGCATGCAATCGTGGGAGAAGGGTAAGATGGGACGAACTTCTCGAGCTTGGTCGTCCTGAAGACCATCATTCTGCCAGTACTGTGCCCAGAGCAGCAACAACAGCAGCACAACCAGGCTCACTTTCCCTTGCACCTTGTCCTTTGAACATTCCAAAATACCAGTCTTGATTAGGACTCCCCAGGGCTGAAAACCAGAAGGAGTGGATGAGATTGCGCGGCTTCAAGAGGGGATCAATGCCCTGTCCATTGATAACCATCGTCCTTCCGATTCTCCATTCTTTCCATCGTTGGTAAACTGAATCCAGACAGTACAACCGAGGAACCCCTGCGGAGGGACGTATGTCGCACGGCGCTGGATGAGAGTGAGAGAGGGAGGGGCAAGCCACTGGGTAATCGATGGCCCTTATACGTGAGATCGGGCGATCGCGAGCAGATAGATCCACCTGCAACTGTGGAGAGCGCCGGCTAGCGCATCGACGACGACGCCAGGCCTTCGATATCTACCTACGTAGAAGGCCCCTCGGTACTTGTAGGACCACCAATAGCGGGACGAAAACCTTTTGCCCCCTAAAGCTTGGGTAAATCTTGGGTAAATGCTCCCGGGTCTCCAAAGGGGCCAAAGGAGGGGGGCCAAAGGTATGTTTTGTTGACCTGTATCCTCCTTTGGAATGGATATCAAGTTTACAAAGACGTCGGGGGGAACTCATAAAAAAAGAAGATCCCGAATTACGTTTGAAATGCCGAAGTACAAGGACAAAATACTTCCTTCGGACACCTGCCGTATGGGGCCGGTGGTCCGGTTCGTTTCGAAGTCGATATTGGGCTTTACCTCAACAGGGTAGTTGGTGGCAACAGTTTACTGCCTCGAAAGGGTAAAAGGGTAGGGGTGTCAGGGGGAGCGAGATGGCGATTGGACTTTGGAATCTTGACGACTTCCCCCCCACTTATTCTTATTCAACATTAGTCACCCATGTGCACTGTCCCTCCCTCCCTCCCAGAAAGCGGGGCCGCTGAGTACATACACGTACCTCGTGCCTGGGTCCGGGGGACAAGCTTCGTTTCGGGTCCCTGCTTCTTGATTGGTGTCGCATCAGAGGCGAGCGAAAACGAACAACCTTGGTTCCCCTGGTCGCATATGTTCTTTCCGGCAGCAGATCCTCGTTGAACCTCAGCTGAGCAGGTGGTGTGAGTAGTGGCACCTTGTACCTGTAGTGGTACGTCGTGGTCGCGGTAGCTCGACGATCAAAACGCCTTTTGCTGGGGAGGGTTTCAGCCCTTTTGGAGCAAGGGAAGCGCTAACGGCGGGTTTTTCCGGGGCACATGCCCTTCTTGACCCGTACGTAATATGCACCTTGAGCAAATTTTGAACGTCAACGAGCGTCTCAGATGGGTGACGGCGAGAGAGTGAGAGAGAGAGTGTGTGTGTGTGGTGTGCTATGGTAATGATTCAGCGGCTGGGAAATCCAGCCTTACGGGGAGGGAGGCCCTTCCCGTGAATGTTTTTTCGTGCCGTTTTTTTGGCCCTAATGGCCCGTCAGCATCCTTTTCCACCTCCCCCGTATTGCGGCCCCGGACAACTTCATACCTTGGAGAAGATCAAACAGCGGCGGCAGGGGACGCATCGGAAAAATCTCGAATACGGGCCACGATTTCCACCATGGTCGCAATCTATGTTGGAGAAAACCCGAGGCCGCATCCCGCATGCTCCTCTCGTGTATCTTTGACGGGGTTACGCAAATTCTTCAAAATTAATGGGCAATCTTGACTGAAAAGGACGAGGGTGTTTTGTTTTGCGGCAAGTTATGGGACACCATGCCCGGTCAATTTGTTGGTGGGTCTATAGGGTCTGTGTGGGCAAACTTTCCTATTATCGACTCCCCTCGAGAGAGCCGCTCGCGCAGTCGATGGGTAGGCTGGCTGGCTGGCTGGCTGGGGAGCTGACAACACCGTGAGATCAGTGTCGTATGTGTGTATATCCCGAGATGTAAGCCATCGCGTACCTACTCGGTATACTTCACACAATGCGGGCCGCCACGCGGCATTCAAAGATACCTCGGATCCGAACCGTGAAAAAAGCTTGTTTCGAGTCGTGTTCAACGGCGGGGGGGAGCAATATCTATGTTACCTACCACCCTACCACTCTGCCTACCACTAGCTGCAAAGGGTATCCCATAGATTTCCTAGGTGGGCGTCGTCAGTACCCGTTTCGTTATCAGACCGTACCTACCTACCTACCTACGGACCCTGATGTCAGAGCCCACAACTTGGCGGAGGGGGATATCAAAAACGGCTGTGGGCCAACACACTGCAGGTACCCTACATTTTGAACAAGCCTTTTTGTACAGCGTCGTACTTTGTCTTGTACAATGGTTTGTGGTTTGTGGTAGAGAGGAGTACGTCGTACTCGTACGGGGCTATCAGAGTCTGTTGCGGTAACGACGGTGCAGAAGTAACGATACATAGGTATGTAGTATTGTGGATCGCCAATCCACAATCCACTGCGACTTCGACTCGAGATTTTCACAATCTCTCATGGGACAGTGACAGCCAGTACCGCATTGATACCGGCTTGTCCGTCCGTATCTGTACGAGGTACACGGCACTTTGCGCTACTTGGAACAAACGCAACCCACCCCCCCCCCTCCTCGGGTACGCTAAACCGACTTCGGGAATGTCATTCTGTGTTTCGGTCCCGAAAAGGAAGTGGACCAGACCAGGCCAGACCAGGACGACCATCTCAATCTCATATTTTCGATCCAAAGTCAGCCCTCTGGGGGAAGGGCGGGACCCATCGCTACTTGAAGCAAAGTAGCCCTCCACTGAGGCGCGCGTGGGAACTTGAGTGTCTGGCCCGCTGACTCAAAGGGACCCATTTATCAACGCACTTACACACACATCACACCCCTGCTCTGCTCTGCTTTGCTCCTTTACCTTCCCTCGGGATGCCTCTGGGATCGCTCCCATCCAATCCCTCGAGTTTGTGTGGGTATTTTGACTCGCCTCGCCTCGTCTCTGGTCACGAGCCTCGTCTTATGGGCCCCCAAAGTCAGACGTGCAGCAAAGCTTGTGCGAGACAAGCTTCCGGCCCGTCTGCGGGACAACACATCGTCTTCGATGGCCGGGCCATGAGGCTGTTGGATGATGTAGATGGAAAGATTGATCAGAGCTGTTAGAAGATAGGTGAGTGCCAGCCTGGAAAAAGCCACATGTTAGAATAGAGAAGCAAGGAGGCAGGTATCGGAGCAGAGTAGTGTGAACCCTGGGGTACCATTGGGGTGTTATGACATTGATTTTGATCTGTGGCAGGTTGCGTATGAAACTTCGCGTGGCATCGACAAAGATATCGGTGCTGACGGCGGCAAGCTGTGCATATTCCTCTCTCTCCCCCGACCTAATCCTCATGGCCGTGACATGCTTGCAAGGCTTTGTAGTCTTTGAGATTGCGTCGCCTTCGAACCGGCAAATAAGTCCATTGCTCGCCGTGACCGTGCACACGAAGGCATTGAACCCCGGTCGCTCTTTTGTAGGTTGTGACACATCAGCTTTTACTCACGATGCAACTGGGACAAGGGGAGCCGCCATTGCCTGCAACCCAGAGGGTGACAAGTCAGCACTTCTGTCCCCTGCGATCAGTATGAATGCTTACATTTGACTCCTTTTCGCCCTGCAGAAGTTACACGGGACTGGAGACCTGTAAGAGCCTTTCGCTGGTGGTCGAGGCTATGCTGACCGCGGCGAGGCTGTGAAAATTGCCTGTATATCTGAACATGGATGTCGCTCCAGATAGAGCTACTCGAAAACATGCGGAGAAGCCCTGTCTTTCGCATTTGATTGTCGTACAGGGCATCTTCACTAGTCACACTGACACGCTAGTCCGAGTGTAGGAATATAAAGCTACTGATACTTGGAATGACCAATCAGATCCACCCCACTAGCACTTAGCCAATAGTATTACGATATCCTCCCGCGCAGGAGTCGGCAGACATTCCTATCTGAGCGATATAATCCTCGGTTGATGGAGGCTCTGCCAGCCTGATCCGAGACGTGACCGTAGCAGAGACTCTCCTCGTTGCTCTGCCTAGTGTAAGATGTAGATCCTTTGGATAATTCCAGAGATCACCCACAGTGTGACCACTCGTAACCTACTCGGCCCGCATTTCCGCTGCCCTCGGCCCGGAGAGAGCCTGAATTTGACATTTTGGGCCGGACTCCGGAACAATAGCAACCGGCCAAATTGGGTTAAGGCGCCCCCCACAAACGAGCTACCTCACTCTAACCTGTTTGGCTCCGAAAGCCACCCATCTTCTCCAGCTCGAAGTTTTTGTCTGAGCGGTGGCCTCAGTGGTTGAAATAAAGACGAAAGCGCCTTTGAGGACATCGTGTGAACCTCACACGGGCCCCCAGCCAACCAAGGTCCAAAGTAAACCGTAGGGGTCGCGATCCGGATGTAAATCCCGAGATCCCCAATCGGACGCCAACCCCCCGGAACGGATTATTTTTACTCGGACGATCGTGCACAGTTATGTCCGAGCTCTGGGCTCCCGTTTATCGTGTCAGGCATTGGGGATTGTGTTTGTTCAAAAAGCGACAACACACACCAGCCTTCGGTATCAACCCATCCTAGGTCGACAAGAGAACGGCTAGACTCTCCAAGACGAAATGTCGGACATTGTCAAAAGCAAGAAGGGCCGCTCAGAGTGGCATTACCTGGTACCAGCCCTGTGCCCGAGATAGGTTTGTGGTCTAATTCGTGCGGCCTTGCGCCGCTCCAAGGGTGATTTGACGACCCTCGACAACTTGCATTCAACTTTACCGTTCCCACTCAGTGCCTATCACAAGCCGGAACTGAGGAAGGAGGAAGAAGAAATTTTCGAGCACTACGTAAGATGGATGGAGTTCAACGACCATCGCTTTGCGACCAACCCCGAAGAAGGCGCTGAGTTTTACGACGGTGCACAAGTCTTGTACTATGACTTGATGGGCCTGATTCCGCGTATGCCCTCTGATGCTGTGGCTAGCTTGACCCTGTGCTCGCGTGGCTAATAGTTTCAAGGCGGTCGCTTCGTCGAACATTTTTACCATATTGGACGTGAGTGAGAGCTTCTCAATTATGGGCTTTGACGTGCTGAACTCATTGTTTGAGCGTACTTCGCCAAGTCTCACATCGGCTACAAGGACATGGAAATCATTGCCACTGCTCCCGACTTCGGATTCTGCAACATGGAACAGGTCTGGCTCCTCGTCTGTGATGTCTGTTGCATGGGACCTGCTGATACGTATGTGTAAAGCATTACTACGGCGTCAGCACCGATGGTCATAAGTTTGACTTTAAATTTCGTTACACTGGCCTGCTGAAAAAGAGAGATGGTGTCTGGAGGTGGATCCAGGAACATGTGTCGTTCCCGGCCAACATTGCCACCCAAATGGCCGATTTCACCTGCAGTCAAGACGCCGGCGAACATTTGAGGATGAAGGACGAGGACAACAAGAAGAGAGAGGAGCTCGACAAGGCTCAGGCCTAGCAGGACTAGAGCAGTCTCACGGTGGCAGTTCACGGGAGCGAGCAAGCTGAATGGAAGCACTCTCTTCACGGGGCGCCTGGGCTGTAAGAGACCAGCATGCTCAGAAACCTCTCTCTGCGTTTGACCAATATTGCATGTAATTGCGGTTCGATATCCGGGGACAACAACACGCGTTGGACCTGCAAGGTCGTTCCGAACTATTCGATATTGGACTATCTGCTGTTACTCCCATGGTTTCCTTGAGTGATGGCTGCTGCGGACCGTTTAATTCATACTTCGACTCCTACGAGTGCTTTACCTCCGTCCACTCCGATATAATCTGACCCGAGAGACCAGACGATTTGCTTTTCGTCGAAGAACTTCTGCTCGTCGGGGCGGACCACTTCCACGTAATAAGGATCTTCCAGCGCTTTCCTAAAACTTTCCCAAGACGGAACCTGGACTTCTAAAATTCCATCGAATCCAAGATCTTTGTCAATGACTTTCAAAGTCCCACCGTGAGCATTCCCCCCGTGGGCGTTGCCATTCATAATCTTGTTTGAATCGGGGTTAATGTGGACCTGTTCAACGTGAGTGAGCTACTGGCAATCATGTTCCAGGTCGAGAGGCTGACCTGTCGATATTTGAGGACCCCATGCTTCGCCAGCCAAGGGGAAACTATGGGCGCGTGCACTTCTCGCCAATGACGGCTATACTCTTCCGGGGTCATGGAGGCTTTTCTCCGCACCAACGCCATGATCGTTACTGGTTGAGGTTGCGCCATATTCTCGACTCGGGAGCAAAGAGGATAGCCAGCTGAGTGATGGGGTATGTGTCGGGTGACTCTGACCTTTTTCTTTTCCAGACGCGAGAAAGGATTGAGAGGAGGTTGATCGACAGCAGGCGATGAACCTGACAGGATTTTTATCTTGCTTCGCTCTGGCGCGCAATTTCCCGATTTGGTCGGCCGGCGGCCGGAATCATGATGGGCGATGTCGTGGGACCCCGTCCCCACCGCCCGATGTTTCCTTGCGACCCAGTTTCCATATATACGAATGAAAAGACACTGCTCGACGCCCTGTGTAGACAGTCTTGTCACACTTCTTCCTGCAACACGACCAAGGTCAGCTGAAGCGGCACAAACTTGGTCCGAGTTCCTTACCGTGCTAGATCGATAGCCATGATAGCTTGCGATGATCAAACGGTACAATGTCAACGCGCACTCGTCTCTGTTACGACAGCATCACTTTCGACTATCCGGAGGGCGTTGTCCAGAGCATACCTCAGGATTTGGTGCCCATCAAAGTCTGGACGCCCGTGGCAGACCACTGCAGTATGAAGGGGGAAGTAATTGGGGCCATCGCGAGGTGGTGGGCCGCCGGTACGAGAGCTTCTCGCGACGTACCATCCGGCTAAGCACACGAGGAGTCTCTTGCTACAACCTTGACCCCAACAACCGGAAGGGCCAAGACCGAGACGGCCTGGAGAACCGACGTCGCGCGGAGATCAGTACAGATGGGGTTAAGATGATGACTTCAATTTTTTGTGACTTGAGTAGATATCGCTGGCTTCGACTAACAGGCCCCCAAGGTCATACAACCCTGTAAGGTGCCGCACGTTGTCATTCGCATCGCAGTACAATACCTCTGCTCAGGAGGCTCAGCCTTGCAGCCTCGTGACTCCTGGCCAATCATGTCTCTCGAGTCTACCTAATCTTCTTTCTCCTTGTATGTGGGGCCAAGACTTCAGGTCCAAACCCTAAAATAAGGTCGTCTCCAACGAACAAACCCAACAAACCCGCCCGTTCTCGTCATTCATCAAAACCCGACGCCAGCCGCATCACTTTTGGGCTTGATTCTTCTGGGTTGACCTCAGCCAGAGATTCTTGCATCGGATTTGTGTTATTATTTGTCATTTTTTGGCCGGCGCAAGGCCTGACGTACGGGGCCTGGAGTGCGCGTCTTTATCCGAGACAACCCCCGATCGGAGTCTTCAAGCTCGAATCTTTGCCTTTTTCTTGCATTGAATCGCGAATAATGTCCCGCGTCAAGGCATGAGTTCTAGTTCGTCTGCCAATCAAGATGTCACGTCTGCTTCGGCGCAAGCAAAGCAGGCTGCGTGTCTGGAATGTCGCCGGAGCAAGGTGAAATGTACGCGCGACGCCAATGCCCCGGTGTGTCGGAAGTGCCAACAGGCAGGTCTGCAATGCGTCACGCCAGAGTACCATGTTGGACGGTATAAAGGGGTCAAGAAGTGAGTTTTTTCGAGCTCTGGATAGTAACGCGGCGCTGAAAAACCGCGGTTTATCAGCAAGAGAACAGGGTTGGAAAAGGCAATCTATCAGGTCGAACAGGCGCTCAAGCGAACCAAAGATGGATCGACTGGGCTCTCCTCCGAGGTTGAAGCCGACCTTCGACAGTTGATCGGGGCCCCCCAGACCGACACTGCACTACAGAGGAGGGCGAGTTCGCACACCCCAACAAACCTTCCACGAACTTTCCTCCCGCCGCGCACAAGCCTGGTTCCTAGCGAGAATAATGGCGCCGCAGACGACAGCAATAGTAACGAGGCGACTGCGACGGACCACGGCGAGAAACCCGACGAACTCGCACTCAACAATGCCGACAATCCCCTGCAATTGCTTGCCATGGCCTCTGTGCTGCCGGGCCATTCACCCTCGACCGTAATGTCCACATCGCCCGCAGGTGTTGCGTCGCAACCAGGAACAAATGACGCAAACCTTGGCGATGTCGAATTACAGCAGTTTTTTGGCTCCCTCATGCCCAGGCTGGATAATTCTCCCGATCTTGACCCGATCGACCTGGGGCTTGTGACACAGGATGAAGCCGACTCGCTGTTTGCTTACTTCTACGAACGACTATCGCATACGAGATGGGGTCTTGACCCTACCCTCCACACGGCGTCATTTGTGCGGTCAAGGTCAGCTTTTCTGTTCACCTCCATTCTAGCCGCCTCTGCACTATTCCTCCCCAAGGCGGAGGCATTGTCGAAGCGACTCTCCAACCACCGAAACAATCTCGCGCAAACCGTGATATTTAAGAGACATAGATCAGTCGAGATTGTGTTGGCTTTCATGGTTAACATTCCTTGGATGACGCCGGCGAAACACTGGGCGGACGATGAGACATGCGCGTATCTCTCGATGGCGCTGAGCCTGGCATTGGACCTCTCTTTGAACAAGATTGTGGTCCCTTCCCCCACGATCCGTCCCGCGGGCTTCCTCGACCGGGTGGCCAAGGCCGAGTGTATCGATTCCGCAAAGGCTTTGCAATTAGATGGTTTCCCGCACGTCGATCCGACTTCCACCTTGGGCCGTCGTTTATTGAGGACCCGTGAGCGAGTATGGCTTGCATTATTCGTTCTTGATCGAGGGTAGGCACACGATACTAAATACGCGACGAAACTACCAGCTGACACGTGCCTGCAGCATCTGCCTTGCAAGGGGAAGGCCATATGCTGTTCCAATCGGGCCACTGGTGGACAGCTGTGACACGTGGCACATTTCTGACATCGCCGATCGATGGGATGGCAGTGTCATCTCAGCAGCTGTTTTGAGGCGAGACTTGGTATGCCGCGCCTCCTGACATTTCCTCTGACGTCTGCTGACCCCGGCAAGGTCGGCCTCATCACGAGTGTCCGCGAATTTTGTGATGGTAGTCAAGGTGTCAATGGTGGCTCAGCGGCCGTGAGATTGTGAGTTGACCCTCTCTCAGCGGCGCTGTTGGGAGCCCAGAATCCTCTTTGGATATATCGCTTGAACTGACGGCCTGATAGCCTGAAAGACAAAATCGACCGTTTCTTTGAACAGTGGTATGCAGTTTGGTCACGTCAAATCACACAAGGCGACGGTAAGCAACACAGACTATCTTCTTTCTTCCACGCCATAACCGTGTCTTGCAGGTCAATTACCTCCCTACGTCGAGATCCTTGTTTCTCACACCAAACTTTCCACATATTGTAACGTCGTTAACCACCCGACGGCCTCGAACGACGTGAAACAATTCTTTCGTGCCGCAGGCCTTGCATCAGCCATGAATGTCATGCGTGCAGCGGTCCAGGGAGAGAATCGACTCAAATCGATGCCGAACAACACCGTCATTATGGTCTCTTTCGCGGCAACTTTTGCTCTCGCCCTTGGAACCACGAGTCAGGGCAATCGAGCCATGCTAGCCCCAAATGCGAGAACCCTGATTGAAGAGACAGCCCAAGTTTTGGAGAGGATTGGCAGCTCCCCGCGACACCGCAAGGGTCTCTCTGTCCTTTTCGCGAGGCACATTCGGCGAATCATGCAGAGCTCAGTACTCAGTCCTCCCGAAGACAACCAGGGCTTTGTCTCGGGCCCTTCAGAGGAGCAACATCATCAACAAGATCAGAATCCTAAGCACAATCCCCCACGGACAGCTTCAATGCCTGCGCCCAATGTTCCACTGGAGCCGTATGTGTTTGACATGACGGACGACCAGATCCTCGAAGCCATCAACAACGCTAGTACTTCGCAGGACTTGTTCCAACTTGACGAGACTATGTTCTTCGACTGGTTAGACTGGCCCAACGTCACATGAGCGGCCACACCTGTGGCCGTAGGTCTTGGTGTGAATTGGAGCCCGTGTTCAGCGTGGTCACAACATTAAATCTTCTGGGTTGCCACTCGCGTGGGCACTACATCCGGAACTGTCTCGACTGACTTCATATCCCTTGACAGGTTCACCAATTTCTGCAGCTGCTCGATGAAGACGAAAGTAAGAACTGTGTTCGGCCTGCTGAATGTTAGGACTTGAGCCAGCACAGAAATCTTGTTAATGCCTTACGCTAGCCTCAGCCAAGCAGGAGTCCAGCCTCGCATCAGAAAGCCAGGCCCCTCGTTGCGTAAAGATTCGGTGACAATCTTCCTTACACTCTGTTTGGGGTTTGTTAGCTCCTAGCCAGGCCTCTTAAGGGATGCCTTACTGGTTTCGCGCCATCAACGGCCACCGCATTTTGGATTCGACTCTTCAATACATCGGCAGGTGCGCAAGCAGTTGTTGCGACTGTGCCTGCAAGCAATGAAGCGAGGAAATGTGTGAAGATGCCATCTTTGAGGCCCAAGGAAGGGTTTGAGAGGAGTTGGCGCTTTGCGGCAGAATACCTGCACGAATATGAGCATGAAGACCGACGAGGAAGCGAGTGCCGTACGTTGCTATCTGAGAAACATCTGCACCTGCTTAGCGACATGATCCGACATGGCATATTCGAGACTTACTCATTATTACGCTTCGGACAACATTAGGGCCTAGTCCTCTGCTAAAGGTCCGCAGTCCCTCTTCACGGCCAATCCTCACAATGGCGTCAATTGCGTGGTTATATCCGAATCGTTGACCTGGCGATCTTGCTCCATCCGCGCACATCCTCACCAAGGCGACCTATACCAACATCAGCGACTCCACGAATCACGTAATACGAGCTGCGGACCTCTGTGGGATTTCCGACGAGTCCGGCCAAACCACCCGCAGCACCCGCGCAGACAATCTCCCACGAGCTCGGTAATCGTCTCTGGCCAGTTCGTTCTCTGGCGATACCTGCAAAGTAATTATACAGGCCGAATCTTGCGGTTGAATATGTGGATTGGCGAAGCATCGAAGCCGAGATTCCCCACCACAAGGAGGGAATGCCTGTGGATTAGATGAGTTGTTTGTCACGGGTCAAGCGTCTCTGTGATGACTTACCATCTCTGCTTGCGAACCGGATCATCGTCCGCAGCATGTTTTGCCTTGTCGACATGACTTGCATTCTGCTATGGCTGTCTTCAGCACTTGGTGGCCCTTCACACGGCCATTCGACCTACTATTTCGTCTGATCCAGCGGGTGTGCTAAAAGTACTCATCAGTCTCCCTGTGGTCTCTCCTACAAGCGGAATGAGCTGAATTTCCATACTGAAACATGCGGCCATCGACGCAGCAGCTCCTCTGTGTCGAATGTGTCAGCAGCCGGATCCGGCCGAAAAGAGGTCTCAACAATTACCCAAGCCAGAAGGGCTGCCCTTTTTGCTTCGATTTGGCCATAATCCGCTGTTTTTGTTCGCAAAACCTGCTAATGGGATTGGCTGGCACGCCTCTCTCTCTCTCTGACAACGACAGGGCGCGAGGTTCCTTGGAAAATGGCTTAAGTCGGCTTGATGACCATCGTTCGGAAGTCTGACCTGTCTTCCAGACGCGCATATAAATTCGGGAGGTTGCACAGCAATATACACTGGAGTTCGACAGTCCAACCATCCTGCGCTGTTTTGTGTATGACAACATCGCTTATCCCAGGGAGCTTCGACCCCTTGCGCGCTGTTCGTCCCCAGATTCGGAACGCCGCGACCATTCTCGTCGGGGAATTTTCTCCATCCGTTCCGCTAACCGCACACATCCACCTGAGTTTCGCCCGCAAACTTCGGCATCAAAAATACAACCGAGATTACGTCTCGTCACGTGGAATTCTTCCAACTGAAGTTTGACCGAATTGAGCGACTCGCTGCCGACTGTACCCGCGCTGTTAGCCGATGTCGCTGCTCTGCTCCTGGCTGTCCCGGTCATAGACTCGAAGAATCGTTGTTCCATTCCTGGAGCCCGGATTGGTAACGGGCATATATTGTTGGTCCAGCCCCAACCACATCGACCACAACAAGTGAGAAGGAAAAAAGCAAGCAGGAAAGATGGCAGTCGCAGCAAGGCGTACTCTGCTCCTGTGTCTGAACGACATCAGAGCCCTGAATGGCTCCAAGACAGCAGCGTATGCCTGTAAAACGGTGTCTCGCAAACCCCTTGCCTTTAGCCAATCACGGGTCGGAACAAGGATCATCTCGAGTCGGCAAGATATTCGACATTTTACATCTTCCAGGACAAGGAACCTTCAAGCAGCATCTTCATCGCAATCAGTAAGTAGCGATGACCAACCTGTTATCGATCGAACGAGGTCGAAGCTATTCAAGGACGCCGACGAGGCTGTGGCAGATATCAAGTCCGGCTCGGTGATATTTAGTGCTGGGTTCGGCCTCTGTGGAACGGCAGAAACCATCATAACAGCAATGCACAAGCGCGGCGTCGAGTCACTAAACAATCTCACGGCTGTGTCCAACAACGCCGGTGCGGCAGGCGCCGGGGGGCTTTCACCCCTGACGCAATCAGGCCAAATCACGCGATGTATTCTCTCCTATTTGGGGAACAACAAGAAGCTCGAGCAGAAATACCTCAACGGCAACATTGCCATCGAGCTATGCCCCCAGGGAACACTTGCGGAGCGGATGCGTGCTGGGGCCAGTGGTATTCCGGCATTTTACACGCCAACCGGTGTCCGTGAGTAGTACCTTTTTATGGAGCCCGTTACGCTGTAAAGGCTGCTAACCCCTGTCTAGACACATTCATCCAAACCGGCGAGATCCCCACAAGATTAGGACCCGCTGACCCGGAGACGAAGAAACCGAGCGTGCTGGAAGCGGGCAAGCCACGCGAGACAAGGATCTTCAACGGTAGAACCTATGTCATGGAGACTGCGTTGACCGGCGATGTTGCCATCATCCGTGCGTGGAAAGTTGACGAGGCCGGAAATTGTCAATTCAGGTATGTTTCTGGTGGCGCAATACTGCCCACAGACCCAAGACAACTCAAGTGCTGATGAACGGGCAAGATACACGACCAAGGCCTTTGGTGTCATTATGGCCAAGGCTGCCAGATTGACAATTGTCGAAGCCGAGAACATTGTGCCTCTAGGCTCCTTGGACCCCAACGACATCCACGTCCCTGGTATCTACGTTGACCGCATCGTGCCCGCGACCGTGGAGAAGAAAATCGAAAACAAAAAGACTCGTCCTGCTGGCGACGAGGCAGGTCATTCCTCCGACTCATGTGTGACGAGCGACAAGTCAGAAGCCCTGGCTCGGCGAAACCGCATCGCCCGCCGTGCTGCAAAGGAACTCAAGCACGGCATGTACGTCAACTTGGGTGTGGGGATGCCTACGTTGGCACCTTCATTCCTACCGAGCGATGTCAAAGTATGGATCCAGTCCGAGAACGGCATTCTGGGCATGGGACCTTACCCGACCGAGGACGAAGTCGACCCGGACATCATCAACGCAGGCAAAGAGACAGTCACCCTCGTCCCCGGAGCGTCGACGTTTGACAGCTGCGAGAGCTTCGGCATGATCCGCGGCGGCCACGTCGACGTCTCGATACTGGGCGCCCTGCAGGTCTCAGCGGCGGGCGACCTCGCCAACTACATGATCCCGGGCAAAGTGTTCAAGGGCATGGGCGGCGCCATGGACCTCGTCTCGAACCCCAACCAGACCAAGATCGTCGTCGCCACCGACCACCTGGACAAGTACGGCAAATCCAAGATCGTCGAGAACTGCGCCTTGCCCCTCACCGGCGCCAGGGTCGTCAGCACCATCATCACCGACCTCTGCGTCTTCCAGGTCGACCGCGTCAAGGGCACCTTGACCCTCACGGAGCTGGCTCCCGGTGTCTCGGTGGAGGATGTCAAGGCCAAGACGGACGCACGGTTTGCCGTTGCGGACGAGGTCAAGTCGATGGAATAGATTTACTCTAATCCTCTTTTTTTTTGCCCCTTCGAAGCATCTCCGGAACTTCGTTGCAGGTCCGGAAACGGGACTGATCTTTATAACACGTGCCTCATGAATATATATATGCGTTATTGGGCTAGCAAGCTGGAACAGCAAATGTTGAAAAGACTTGTCTATATACAATAAAAAAATTATGATTTAAAAAAGTCACATTATGTTTTTTTTTTTTTTTTTTTTTTGCATGTCATTTCGATCTTTCTTCACAACGCGACACGTCAGATGCCCTTTGGCTTGGTATACATGTATGTGATTGAGACTGGCCTCCCAACTCCAGTTTCGTGCCTTTTTGCCCCCCTCATAATCCTGTGACAATGACTTGGACAAACACCGTCACAAATATGCAAGAGTTTTCGTGCTGATGTCATGGATAGACTTGGGTTGGGATGAATCTTTTTCTCATTTCAAGACACAAATCTACGTACGGAGCTACAGCGCTTTTTTTCTCTTGTGGAACTCTATGTTTTTTGGTCTCTCTGACACCATGCATGATCAGCCCGGGGACGACAAAAGTCTCATAACTTGGCTTTCGGAATTTCCTCGCCGCCCATGCCTGGCGCAAACGTCGTGCCGCGGCCTTGACTCAATGCCCGGACTAGCTCGTCGATGCAGTGCAGGATCCACTGGTTGCCCTCGTCCGTGGCCAGCCACTCGCCGCCCTCGATGTCCTTCTCGGCCGTGCCGTCCTGGTACGCCTTGCGCAGGCCGAAGACGTGGCTCACCACCTGGGGTGCGACGCCGGTCTGGGCGCGAAGACAGGCGATGCCGGTGAGCGACGTCAGCACTCTCCCGACCTGGAGGGGTGCGTCGGACGGCGGGTCCGCCAGCAGGTTCGAGTAGTGTCCCGAGAGGATGTGGACGGGCAGGTTGGGGTGCGACTGGGCCAGCTTGGCCAGGAGTTTCTCCTCAAACGGGTAGTAGACAGAGTTCCACAGGCGGCGGCCACGGGCCATCGACTCGTCGATGTTCTGGGCCGTCAGCTGGCGCGACACCGGCGGCGGGATCTTGTCGAACACGTCCTTGGGCATGCCTTCGCGGAACGCGCCCAGGCAGTTGATCGAGCGCGGGATGCCGTTGAACGAGATGCACTTGAGCCCGACCTCGCGCATCAGCCCTGCCGTGGCCGTGGGCGACGGCGCCGACGGGAGCGTCTGCGTCAGGTGGTACAGCTCCACCATTGACGACGGCGAGTTCATCGTCATCGTCGCCGCGGTCGAGATGGTGACCCACGCGGGGATACCGACGCCTCGGTCTCTCGCGCTGGCGGCTATTTGAGCATAGGTCGACCGGATCGTCGGCGGCGCCTTGAGCTGGCCAGGCAGGGCGTGCGCGGCGTTGATGAGGTGCTTCAACGGCTCCGAGAGTTTCGACATGTCGTCTGACCGTGACCGAGACGGGCTTTTCTTTGCTCTCCTTATCTGGACTGGACGTTGGGCTGGGAGGATTGTTGTGTAAGTGTCAATCGGGTACCATCAGGAGCAATATCCATTACAAAGCGTCCAGTGAATCAAGAAAAAGGAGGTGGTGAGAGACAAGAGGGTCTGGACTTCTCTCTACTTACAATCTTGATGCCGTGGTCCCTGTGGCGACCGAGTTCCCGCTGCCTTGCCAGCGCTGTTATCACTCATGTAACGACTGTGTGCCGGCCGATGAACTCTGATTGGTGGAGCCTCACGATGCAAGGCTGGGTTTAGCTCGTGGAGATTCTGTAAGACGCTATGAGCTCCGGCGATAATATTATTGATGGCCCGCACCCCCAAAAGAAAGCCCGTTTTGAGAAAGTGATCAATGTGTTGAGCTTATTGATGAGACGAAGTCGTGATACAAATTCTTGATGTCGAGACAAAGGGGATTTGCCGGTAGAAAGAAGCACCGAACCGAGTCCCGGCGCCCAGAAAATGGCCCGAAGAGGAATGGCGGCGTCTTGGCACATGGACCTCGGCCACAGACTCCGGCCTCATCCGGCTCATCTCCGTCTGCGTCTGTGCCTTCGGCCATTCTTCTACTTCCTTTCCTACCAAACGACGCCTTTCACATGACTGATCCTATCTAATCCTGCTTGTTCACTTATCGCCGCAGAGGCTTGACTGTGTTGCCGTAGTCGTTCGTTTTCCCCCTCCTGAGTTTCTGTACGGCCATTGACCGGGTGCCGCCCTCCCTCGCTTGCGCCACGACCTCTTCCTTGATTGGTCTCTGCCAACAAGAGCGTAACATTCTCCAGTGCTTGGCCACTGCTTGGTGTCGTGCGACCGCCCAACAAGACTGTTAGCCATCGCTAAATTTGGGGCCACAACGTCCATCCCTCAATCATAGCAGGCGGGATAGTGTCCCCATCAAAGACGACTTTACAACCCACGGGGTAATAATCAACGGCCAGGGGCCCCAGTATTTCACTTATTTCTTTGGATACTATAAGAATGACACATGTCCCTTGGATGACAACTTGATCTTGACCCTCTGTCCTCTCAGTCTACCCTCGAAACAGCTTATATCCTCTGGCCTTGAAATACAAGTCCATTGCTGTGTGTGTGTCCAAGTGAATCAACTCTACACCGTCAAAGGTGTCTCTTGCCGCGCAACGGACATTCTCCATCCTGGCCTTAAGTGGCAAAAAGCCCAACAAGCCCCCACTGACCATGGCCGAAGAAAAGGTCGCAAGAGACCCGATGGTCGAGAAGCCAGAGGACACTCAGAATGAGTTCGAGACATCCAGCCAAGTGGTTCCGGTAGAGAAGGCGGGCTCACTGTCCGGTTTTGGTGACGACGCTCATACCAAAGCCTTGACGCGGAAGCTTCTCTGGAAGCTTGACACAAGGTATGCGTTCTCTTTCTTTAGAGATTCCCGCCCCGTCTTGAGAGGCGCGACGTGTTGTGCTTAACATATCGCTCCATGCAGAATTCTCCCCGTGCTCGCCTTGCTCTTCCTCTGCTCCTTTCTCGACCGTACAAATGTGGGGAATGCAAAGATCCTTGGTCTCGAAAAGGATGCAGGTCTCACCAACGGTCAATATGCAAACGGCCTCGCCATCTTTTTCGCTTTTTATATTGCTGCCGAACTGCCCAGCAATCTGGTTCTCAAGAAGTTCAGCCCGAGACTATGGCTGGCCTTTCTCACCGCTGCGTGGGGTATCATTGGCATGTGTCTAGGTTTCATTCGAAACTATGGTGGATTCTTGGCTGTGCGAGCATTCCTGGGTCTTGCAGAGGGAGGATTACTGCCAGGTATGCATTCAGCCTCTCGCCATTTTTCTCGCGAATCGACGGGAAGACCGAAGAGTTCATGATTGATTCTAATCTCCGGTCACAGGCATGGTGCTCTATCTATCAGGAATGTACACCAGAGGCGAGTTGGCCCTTCGCATTGGACTGTTCTATACCAGCGCATCTCTTGCTGGAGCCTTTGGAGGTCTTTTGGCACGTGGTCTTTCTGCCATCGGCCCTACTGGCAGCGCTGTGGATGCTGGGTGAGTAGCTTCCTCTCAAACTGATCTGGGAGCCCTACTAACGAGAAATGTTTGACAGATGGCGCTGGATCATGATTATCGAGGGTCTTTTGACCTTTGCAGCGGGAGTGATTGCATATTTCCTTCTCCCAAACAGCGTATCAACAGCCTGGTTCCTCAAACCTGAGGAGCGCGAACTCGGCAAGAGGAGGTTACGAAACGATACCTCCGCACACTTACCCGACGGCCACAATGCAGAAGGAGTTGAGAGGTTCCGATGGTCAGAAGTCCGACGGGGAGTTTTCAATATTCAACTGTGGCTGACCGCAACGGCCTACTTCTCGATTCTTTCCGGCCTGTACTCATTTGGGCTATTCCTGCCAACCATTATCAAAGGTCTGGGCTACACGGCGAACGAGGCCCAGTTGTGGTCCGTTATTCCTTATGCTGTTGCAGCTGTTATCACAGTGGTTGTCGCCCTTGCCTCGGATCGCTTCAAATTGCGAGGTGTTGCGATGCTCTTCAGCTTGCCGCTGGCCATCATTGGGTATGCGGTTATCGCCAATGTGGACGAGCACGACAACCACACGAAGTATGGCATGACATTCTTGATGGCCACAGGATTGTATGCCAGCGTTCCCCCTGTTCTGGTATGGAACTCCAACAATTCAGCCGGACACTACAAGCGTGCCACGACAAGCGGCATGCAGCTCGCTATCGCAAACGCTGGTGGATTTGTCAGCGGTGAGCACTGATCTTTGTCCGTCGTTGAACCAGAATGTTTGTCGCTGATGTCTGAGAATAGCCTTCATCTATCCTTCCACTCAAGCTCCTCAATACCACAAATCACACACCATCATCCTGGGATTGCTGGTCTATGCATGGTTTGCGTAAGTCTTCCAACACGTGCTTCTGATATCGGTCAAATGTGTTCCCTTTCTAACAATCGACCGACAGGATATTGTGCAATGTCCTATATTGCGCAAAGATCAATCGCGACAAGGCGAACGGCAAATACGACAAATACATTGGGTACGGTGATGACCGAGATCCGTCATTCAAGATGGTTCTGTGATGATCTAGACCATGTGTCGACAAGCCTATATCGGCGTAGAGCAGATTCGATGTTTCATGATGGATGGCTAAAAACGGGTTTATGCATGTAGTTTCTCCTTTGCGGGGTGTGAAGGAGGAGGACACGCTCTGGCCCCGTTTAGAAGCGGGGTATTGTAATTGAATTGGCTGTATAGACCAGCTTGTCCCAGGTCAATGTCGATTCCTGGACAACTATAGACTCAGAAGACAAGTCAGAGTGAAAAAGATCACTCGTTGTTTCCTTTTTAGTCTGTGATGAGGTGAAAGTGACAGTAACGGCAGCCTCTTCGTTGGGACTACCTCGCCTCACCAAGACTTCATTGTCTAGTTTTCAGTCCGCTCTGAAATCTCTCACACGACACACCTCACACGACATCATATCACACCTCACGATCCATCTACCTTGAGCTACCGGTATCGTCCATCTCAGTCAAGATGTCTTCCTCTCGTCCGCCTAACCCGACCCAAATCCCCAACAATCTGCCTGGCCTGACCACTCACATCACCGGTCACGATGGCAACACGGGCAAAGCCATCGTTCAGGACAGCAGACCCGGCAATTGGACCGTCTTTGACGACAAGCTCATGGGATTCAACGTGGTGTACACAACCTCGGAGTTTCCCCCAGACCTCAACAACGACCGTGACCTCAAGACGCACGACGAAGTCGTCGCCAGCGGCAAACTCGGGCTCGTCAACACCAACGGCACAGTCTGCCGGGTTGTCGACATGGCGCCGGGTTACGAATGTATCATGCACAGAACTCAGAGTCTCGACTACGGCATTGTCCTTGAGGGGACGATCGAGATGATCCTGGACAGCGGCGAGAGAAGATTGATGCAAAGAGGAGATGTCGCTGTGCAGAGAGCCACGATGCACGCCTGGAAGAATACCAGCGAGACGGAGTGGTCACGCATGATCTTTGTGTTGCAAGACTGCAAGAGCTTGGAGGTCGGAGGCAAGGCGTTGAAGGAGGACTTGGGCAAGGGTGTCGAAGGATTGCCACCAAGTGGCAATGACTCCTAGACCAGCGTCTGCAGCGACCTGTCTGATGCCCTGGGAGAGAGATGGAAAGAGGGGACAAGCAACTCAACCAAGACAATGAGGCACCAATTTGCCCTTTGAGATGTGTTTCGATAGAGGAACTGAAGCGACGCTGTGAATGAGACCGCTCCTTTCCTTTACCCTAGGCAATGAATTCTACAGTATGTATCCTCTACCAGCTAGCTGCACAGTGGTCCACTGGTCGTCCTGGGCGCGCCCCCCTTTTACTTGATTCTCTACCCTCATACTCCGCAGTCATGTGGCTCCCACTCGCCGTTTTGATGGGCGTTTAGTGCCGCTTTCCCGGATTTGGGGGCGTCGTTGTGGGCCTGAATGTTGACGGGCGATTAAAACCGGGACAACGATAAGGGACTTTTTGCCCAGCCAGCCAAACTCTGGGCACAACTGGCAGGTCCAAGTTTGGTGCCTCTGTCTCTCTCTCTTTCAAGAGTCTCTGTACATCTACAAACACCTCAGACTCATTTACTTTTATGTATATATACTAGTAATTTTGGTTATTTAACCTCGTTGCGTTACCCGCGTGCGTGTACCTTATTGACAAGCTCGGGCAAGAACGACCCTGGAAATACGTCCCGGAAACTCCTGAAGACGCGACTACCTCACATCCCCCGGAACTCAGTCTTGCACCCGACAAAACCGTCGTTGAACGATTTCGCCGCGCGTTCGGAAAGGGGTTTCACACCTGTGCGCTCGCGCAGTCAGCGCTTTTCTGCCGGTCTTGCGACAGAGCGTGTCCAAGACAAGGATGCGCCGAGGCTGCGGCCTGGGGCAACGAGTTCGCGAAAACAATGGGATGGCCGCGCACTTCTTCACTGGGCATAGACAACGCAACCTCCATGTCACGCATACGGAGTCGGGGAGAATCAGATGTCGAGAAGGAAGGGTTCCTGAACCGTCACCCTCACGGCAGCGAAGACGATAGCAACGATACGTTTGACGACGAAGAGGGAAACCCCTCGCTCGCATCCTCTCGGGCCACCTCTGCCTCGTATAGACCCATGCTCATCAACAAAGCCTACAGTTCCAATCGATCCTCTTCTCCGGCCTATCTCGGCAGAATGCTCGATCCATCATGCGATATCTCTGCCTCGGCGTCGCCGTCACTCTCCTTATCTTTATCTTTTCGCTGGTCAGAATGAGCTACGTCGCGGAACAGGAGGTGCAAGAGGCGATTGAACAAGAAAAGATCAAGCCGAGACCTGCTCCTTGGGAAGAATTCCCCTTTCTGCAAAGATATTACGGCGGAATCCGATCGTTGGTTCCAGTCGCGAGCAACGTGCCTGAATACCCCAGGAAAGAGGACGAGGTGGAATGGGAGAAATTGAACATCACTGAGGAGGCGGTCGAGGATCTGCCGGCAGAGGAAGCCCCGACGGGGAAGGAGAGGAGAAAGAGAGCGATTCCATCGAGCAAGAGATTCGACCCATATCCCAGTTACTCTTCACCAGAATACATTGCCAAATACGGTGACAAGGTAGATTGTTACCTGGATGCCGACAACACCATCGAGATACCGCGTGTGCGCATCTACGAGGGCATCCCACGAGAGTTTCCGGATATGGTCATGGGTTCGGCCAAGCTCCTTGGACTCAGGGACGACATCTGCTACGATCGATTTGGTCGGCTAGGTCCGTACGGCCTTGGATACAGCATCAACCGAGGCGGGAGCGGTGCCCAACAGGAAGGAGAAAGAGAGGGAGCTGATTTAGTGTGGCAGGAAGCGCCCGAGGTGGATTGGAGAACCGTTCAATGGGCCGACGCTCAGCAACGATGTGTTCTGGCAAACAATCACCGCTTCAAGGAACTCCCGGAGAAGCCGCGAATCGACACGTTTCGAGTGATGCCCGTCGGCACAGTCTACAACAAGAGAGATGAGGTGGCTGACGTCGAGGCAATGCCGCCAAAGCCGAGTGACGTGCCGAAGAAACCCAAGTCCGGATCAGAAAGACTTCCTCGTACAGCGGTCGTGATCCGTACCTGGTGGGACTATCCATACACACCCGAAGACAAGATCTACCTCCGATCCCTCATCTCAGAACTGAATATGCTAAGCGGTGGAGAGTACGTGGTGCATTTCCTGGTCCAAGTCAAATCCAATGACGTGCCTATCTTTTCTGACGATGAGACCTACGAGCGCGTTCTTCGAGACTCGCTGCCCGAAGAATTCCGTGGCATGGGCACTCTTTGGACTGAGAAGCAAATGGAGCTCATGTACGGTGGTCTGGAGGAGACAAACATGCGCGGCTTGCCTGTTCACGGTGTGTACCGCAGCACCTTTATGCCAATGCAGTACTTTGCCTATCAACATCCCGAGTACGATTTCTTCTGGAATTGGGAGATGGACATTCGAACTACACACCACTGGTACCATTTCTTCGACAGTGTCACGAAATGGGCCAAACAACAACCCCGCAAACTTCTCTGGGAGAGAAACAGCCGGTTCTATGTCCCATCGGAACACGGTGAATGGGAAGACTTTAACCAAATGGTTCGCATCCAGACGGAACATGGCACAAACAGCGTCGCCAACCTGTGGAGCAGCCTGAACCACGCCAACAAGGATCCCAATGACCCGAGCTCTAAGCACAGTCCTGCAGGAGCAATGAAACAACAAGGAGACAAACCAATCTGGGGTCCTGAACGACCGCTCGATGATGATGTCGCCATGGAAACTGACCCAACTCCACCGACCTCCTTTGACAAGGATAAATACACGTGGGGCGTCGGCGAAGACGCAGACCTGATCGTGTTCAACCCACTGTTCGATCCCGACGGCACGACATGGCTTCTTACGGACGATACCACGGGTTATAATATCACGCGTGGCCGACCCCCACGGCGTACTGCCATTATTACAGCATCTCGTCTCTCGCGTCGATTGCTGTTGACCATGCACAAGGAAACGGCGCTGAAGAAACACACCATGTTCTCGGAGATGTGGCCCGCCTCATGTGCGTTGCAGCACGGCTTGAAAGCAGTCTACGTGCCTCATCCAGAGTATGTCGACCGCAAATGGCCCACCAACTACCTCGCTTCGGTCTTCAACGGAGGCCGCAACGGTGCGACAGGTGGCGCCCGCACTTCGGTATTTGGCGAGCGCGAACACAACTTCCGAGGGACGACGTGGTACTACAATGCCGGCTTTCCGGAAGTGCTCTGGCATCGATGGTTGGGCATGAAGTTCCACAACGACGGCGGGGAACAGTTCGAGCTCGCAGGCGAGGGCAGGATGTGTCTGCCGGGAATGCTATTGCACCCGGTCAAGAGGGTCGACCTGGTACAGGAAGGGAGGAGGGCCGATCAAGCCGGATAGGAAAAGGCCCGGTCGACACGAGACGTTCTTCCTGCCATAAAAGCAGGGTCATGAAACCTATTTTCTTGGACAAAGAAAAACGAAACACGCACGAGGACGAGTCTTGGACGTGTGTGAGTTATGGAACAACATGCACAAATATACACGCATCGTTTTGCTGGGGTTGTTTGGGAGATGGCCGGGGTTGGACAAACTCCATATGTACTACCGTTCGTACCACGTACCAGGTACCTTAGCTTACCTTAGCTACTTTTACCTATGTACTGGGTTCGTGGTGGTACGTACCTATGTACAGCACCTTTGTAGATATGCTCAAGGTACAAAAGACACGCGGAGGGTCTGCAATGTCGATTGCTTGCTTGGTGTTTACCAAACTCATTGCCTCAACCTCTGGAAAGGTACTCACGTGATAGCATAGCACTTGCTCGCCCTCACTGTCTGGTTTCTCGGTATTATCCAGGATTGTTTTTTTTTTCCAAATGAACTAACTCTACCGTGAGGGGATCAGCTTCGCTCTTTGGACAAGACCGTAAAGGTCTCTGGGGATAATATTATTAGCGCAGGGAAACTACGGCTAGACGCCTTTCTTTGGTGAGTGAGTGAGTGAGTAAATAAATTACCCAGCCAAACCATTCGTTCTTGCCATCGTCTCGATTCAACCATTATATTGACTGAGAAGGTCCTGCTCGAACTTCTGATCGTTCCCTACAATGCTCTTTGGCAGCAAAACGCTGGTGTGCACTTGAGCCGCCAATAAAATGCTTTTTCTCATCGATCAAGCCTGTTCTCATTTGGTTTGAAAGAAAGCTTTTTGCCTCTTCTTTTCGCTCGGACGAAGATACACAGACAGATAGACAGAGGACAGACAGACAGACACCACCAGATTCGACCGCACCTTATTGGCAAGAGAAGTGTCTTCCCCATTTTGTTGAACCTGGCTCAGATTACCCAATCCAACAACAGATGTGGCCCCTTTTCGCAACACCTGGCGAGTTAGATTCCTCCTCCAACCTGGGAGACCTATATGCCAAAAGAGAAAAAAGGCTGTCAAAAGGTGGACCAATAAACCCCGGAAAGGCCCTCTAGCAGTGCATGTCGAACTTGGGCTTTCGGTCAGATGTGAAAGATCCCCAATGTTGCTCGCTTGCAGTTTGTCCGTCGTCGCCAATCGCGTCAGCCTTGCCGGGCTCGTCAAACGCTTCGAACCAGAACAAGTCAATGCCCCAGTCCAGAAGCCCACACACGGCAGATTGCCAGTACGTTTTCATATTGTCATCGCCGGCCTTTGCCGCGCCAGCATCTGTGCCTCCGGTGCCAGGCCAGCCGGTTTCTTGTTATATCTGTCAGAAATGTCCCGTGCTTTTCACCAGTTTCAGAGAAGTGTTCTTACCGCCATTCATAAAATGGATCTTGTCCAGGCTGCCGGTGACTTCCTGGACGTGGCCGAGCGCCTGGGCCATGTCGTCAAAGTAGGTCTTTGTTGCGTTGGAGATATCTTGGTATTGCCAGTAGGAAAAGCCATTGGCCAGACTATTCTTGGTCAGCACCGGTCCCATTACACGCAGAGGTAGGTAGCTCTCACATTAGCTGAATACCGCTCTTGATGATGGAGTCCATGGTCCCATTATTCCAACAGTTCCAGCTGTCTGCACTCCCGAGTTGGGTGTCCGGATAGGACTTTTGCATATCGGCAATCCAGCCTAGAAGATCATCGGCGTTGTAGGTGCCGCGATACATGCCCTCTGAACCGATTGTGATGCCGTACAGCGTATCACCAAAAGAGGTGGGATCGGCCTCGTCAATTGCTGCCTTCTCCCTGTCATAGGCACCTCCATCAGGCCTAGTATTGAATCATGTCCATCAGCCTTGAGTCTCCATCAACCTGCGCCCAGAATACCACTCACCACATGCCCAACAACACCTTTATGCCTGCCGACTTGGCCGCGGGAAGAACTTGGGAAGGGGTCTTGCACGGGTTGCCAAACTGATCGGAGGAGGAATAGGTCCGGACGATCTGAGCATCGGTGTTGCTCAGGATAGCCTTGAAGTCGGCTTCGAAGTCGGACTGTGTTTTGCAGGTGCCGTCTGGGTTGGTATTTCCCACGGCGAAGCCTAGGGTTCCAGCTCCCGACACTGCCAGCGGTGCCGTAGCTAAAACTGTGGAAAGCACATCGCGGAGTTGCATGTTGAAATGGTGGTCCCTGAGCAGACGATGGGGGTTCGGATTTCGAATCTCGGGGGAACGCGAGGATCAGGCTTGAGAAAAGTGGAAAAGAAGGACTCTCAACAAGAGGTAGAATGGCCGGAAAGAGTGACTGGGAAAGGCAATGTTTGCAATACAAAGACTGTGAATGACGAGGAAAAAAGAAGACGAGCAATGACTGAAGCGCAAACACGGGTTCTTCCCCAGAAGTTTGGGACTCGATCCCCTTGAATTGACGCGCCTGGAGCCGTTGTTCCTGAACCATTCCATTCCAGGAACGTGGCTGCTGCCGCCTTACGCCGCGCTGCGCCTCAATGCAGGTGCGTATGATCTTGGCGCCAAGACTACACGCACTGACTACTGGCAATAGGGGGAAGCAGGGGAGACAAGGCTACGAAACAACACACCGACAGACACATTTCGATTGCAACTGGTGGTGGGAAATATCTGTCAACTACATCTACATCCATGTCATCATCAATCCATCAGGCTGCACAGAGCCCCAACACGTCCGAAGGTATAGTCCACGTCTTCATAATGTCGCTCCTGGCCTGGAATTGCATCAGGAGACCCGCCTCCATGTGCCAACTGATATGGCAATGTAAGGCCCACAATCCGGGGTTATCAGCGACAAATCGGATGAGCGCCCAGCCGTATGCATCAACCATAAGCGTATCTCGTCGCATGACATTCGAAAGTGTCCTGTTCAAGCCATCATAGGTTGACCAGTCGAAGTATTGATCTGGGGACGAGGCAAGGATCCAAAAGGTATGACCATGGAAATGGAAAGGATGGGCTCCCTCGTCATAGTTGGTGATCAACAGATCCACCACAGCGTAATCGGGAATGTCGATGACATATTGGCTGGCACTGAACGCCGAGCTGACTCCAGAGGTCGTAAACGAGTCATTGCCAGCCTGGAGGCCAGCTACAGCTTGGTTCAACGTCGGCACGTCGGCCATTACCCAGGAGGTCCCATTGATAAAGGCACGATCCAGGGCGTAGTCTCCAATCTGGAAATTTGCCGCGATGGCATACATTATACTGGCTGGTGGTGCCTCTGATTCGAAGAGCGGTGTCAACAGTGACGAGTTCAGACCGACGCATTCAACATCCATCGCATCTTTCCAGTCTGTCGAATTTGTTGGTACATCTGTGCTATTGGTATATGTTATCAATGCCATAACATTAGGGTCGAGGATCGGATTGGTTCCGAAGCAGAACGTGTTCATCTGGGCTCGAATCCAGTAGTTCGATCCTGCCGTCTGATTGGCGTTGACGACGATTGAGTATCTCTGCGCCACAGCAATGTCGAGTCGGTGCACAGAAAGAGGCTCTGTCGCGATTCCATCCGCTTCAATAACAGAGAGGGGATGGTTGTCTATCGAGAATTCGAATGTCGCGAAAGCTCCCGTGTTGATCAGCCTATATCGATAGCGTTTGCCGTGCTCGACCGTAAACACCGCACGTGTCGAGTTTTGCTCGCAGACATAGCCGCTATCGGAGTCGAGGGTTGAACAGTTGAAATAGTTGGTACCCTGAATCAAGCCATTGTCCGGAACAGGCTCGCTGTTCTCATTGCCGCTCGAGAGGTAGTCGGGTAGAAGGGCCTGGCTATAGTCATGGTACCAGTCTTGAACAAGCACAACCTGGTCCACGTCGTAGAGCTTTTGCAGTCTGAGCTCATCTGGCGAATGTATAATTAGTGGTCCGACTGGTCCATCTCCATTCGTGGTCGAGTAGTGGGTGTGATACCAATAAGTTCCGAACTGGTTTTCCACGGTAAAGTTATAGGTGAAACTTGCCCCCGGTGGGATCGGGCATTGTGTGATTCCGGACGTACCGTCCATCCAGTTTGTACCATTCTGGTAAAGCCCATGCCAGTGAAAGGCAGTCCCGTTCCGGAGATTGTTCTGAACATGGACGAGGATCCGATCGCCCATATTAGCACGAATCAGCGGGCCTGGGATACGACCATTGATGGCGATGACCTCACGAAAGACACCATCCGGCGACAGCTCAATTTCATCAATGGTAAAATTGTATTCGCGTGTAGTTGGCGGTGCATTGAAGTCCCAGCCTGCTATGTCGAGGGTGTAGTCCTCAACATTTGATCTCCATGGAGGAACCAACAGAGATGCATGTGAATCCTCGGCGGGCGACGAGCTGTTCGACGACGAGGGTGACCCAGCGGTGCTTTTCGATTGACCCTTGTTGGAATGATTCAGTCCCAGTCCAAGGCCCAGTCCTAGCGCCAGTCCGAGTACAACCACTACAACGACCACAGAGAGGACGAGGTATGTTGTTCTTCGAGAGCCTTTCGAATGCACCCCGGTACCTTTCCCACTTGACGGCACTCCCGCACCGAAAAATGGAGTGGCATTCTGCGCTTGAGTGCTCTTTTGCTCTGCAGACATATCTTGAGGTATTTTTCCTGGCAGAACGATCGAACTGAACCACAGGCAGTCGACAATGGAATGGTGTCGAATGACTTGTAAAAGTACATACAGGAGTCTAATCTCACCGGCGGGGCATCTTTTTCAGGTTTGCAATCAACATCTCTCTTACCGGTTCCCGTCGTGGCAGGAGAGACAAAATGCTGGGATGATAGTGGGCAGTACACCAGTCTAGCCGTCTGAGGTGCTCGCATCCTCTTCGCAATCACTGGTATGGTTGCCCAGATCGGCGTAGGCTGCCATGACAGCTCGCATGGATACCAGCACAAATGGCAAGGCTATTGTTGGGTCGCCTTCGCCATAAAGTGACATTGATGCATGTTGAGGACGCCGTGCAGGCG